AGCTGGTGGTCCCTGAGCAGCCTCCCAGCAGGGAGAAACTTTTCAGGTGCTTGGAATGTGGGAAGAGCTTCAGGAAGAGCTCCATCCTCATCCGACACCAGCACATCCACACTGGTGAACGTCCCTACACGTGTAGGGAATGTGGGAAGAGCTTCAACCAGAGCTCCCACCTGGTCAAACACCAGCGCATTCACACTGGGGAACGGCCCTACATGTGTAATGATTGTGGGAAGAGCTTCAGTGTCAGCTCCAACCTGATCCAACACCAGTGCATCCACAGTGGGGAACGGCCCTACACGTGTTGGGAATGTGGGAAGAGCTTCAACTACAGCTCCAGCCTTCGAACCCACCAGCTCATCCACACCGGGGAACGGCCCTACAAGTGCTTGGTATGTGAGAAGAGGTTTCCGACCAGCTCAGATCTCCTCGTGCACCAGCGCACGCACACAGATGAGAGGCCCTTCCGCTGCACCCACTGTGGGAAGGGCTTCAAGCACAACTCCACCCTCATCATCCACCAGCGCATCCACACTGGAGAGAGGCCGTACAAGTGTGGGGAGTGTGGGAAGAGCTTCACCCACAGCTCTGCCTTGACCAGACACCAACGGACCCACCGGTAAGGGAAGCCCTACCAGTGCCCCGACTGCGGGAAGAGCTTCAGACACTGCTTCCACCTCGAATGAAGCCCCTGATGTTGAGGCAACCCCTGGAGTCCAGTGACTGTCAGTCCATCCCTTTCGACCACAAACGGCCAGTCCCCTTTCACAGGGACAGGTTCTTCCAACAGAACCCTTCCTGGTGGGGTGTGTGGAGATTCCTGCCTTGACTGGGGACCCCCCAAGGTCACTGCTGGAGGTTGAGAGCAGAGATCTCTCCACCAGCATTGGTCTGGGGGAGTTCCATCCATCTCCAATTAAGAATTATTGCTTTTGTGCCAGCTTAAGTAGAGTTGCTTCAACAATTGCTTTAGTGTAGAGCACTGTCCTATCTTATCCTGTACTCCTGGTAGTTTTAGTGTTCTATTGTGCAGTAAATAATTCTGATGAAGATCTTTTGTCTGATCATTTGTAACCCTAAATAAATTCCTTTCTATCAATAGATCTGATTTGCCATCATTAAAGCTGGAGGAAAAAAATGATTCTGTCACACCTCTGTAATTCCTCTGAACTGAAAGTGTTGGCATAAGCCAAGGCTGAGATTGGATCCAGCAGCCCCCAGCACCCCACAGGAAGTTGGGAGCTCGGGGGGCCAGCCCCCTTTACCAACCTGCCTGTGCCCAAAGACCCTTATGGGACTGTCAGACCCACAAGACAACCCTCCCTTTTCCACCCTTCTCCCTGTTCCTCCCATTTTCCTATTGTCCCCTCAATCCCCAATTTCCCCCATGAACAGTTTTGGGGTCCCACCCCCCACATTTTGCCCCCTCTCCTGTGGGTGCTGAAGGAGAAAATGAGGCTGCACACACAGATTCCATTGTGGGACTTGTCTGCCCATCTTTCCGGCGTCCCCCTTTCATTGGGGTTCCTTTGGAAACAGCACCTGGGCTTTGTCTTTTAGTCCACCAGAATTCCAAGCATGGCTCCAAAGCAGTGCCCTGATCCCACACATTCCCCTCCCCTCATGTGCTGGCTGTGTTCAGCCAGCAGAGAAAAACACAGGCTACCATGCAGAGCGTTCCAAGTGGTTTCCACTTTGGCAAACAGCACTCTCTGGATGGAAAACACCAGTCAAGGCCAAAACACTCCTTCTGCATCCTGATTAACTGAATGCAGCTGCTGCTTCCTTAACTTTTTCCCACATAAATTCTCAGGGTTCCTTTGTGTCCAGGAGGCCCCACATGTCCCAATCGCCCCTGGATTCCATGAGCTTCCACAGTCTCCAAAGGTTCCTTTAGTCCCACGAGGCCCTTCAGTCCCCAAATGCCCTTTGGATTCTCAGAGATTTCCCATTGTCCCAGGGTCCCTTGTGCTTCAGAAGGAGCTGCAGTGGGACAGTGGTCCCTTGGTTCC